ATGAAAAACTCTAATTCAACATAGTATGTTATGTTTTCTAAAAAAGACTACTCCTGGTATTGCTGAGGTTTATTTTCCAAAAGGTGCATGCTTAATATGATTTTCATACTGAAGTTACACAACTGAAACAAAAAATGAGGCGCAGTAATCTATCAGATATTTTGCACATATGTACAAGTTTTTATTCTTGCCCCTTGATTTTGCATTTCAAGAAAGCGTCAGGAGCAATTTTTGAGTCTCCTAGGACATGGCAGTGTTCTGAAAAGCTGTGTGTTTTGTATTTTCTAATTAAGATTGAAATCAGACGTAATCCACCTGTCACCAAGGAACTGAGACTTGAAAAATCAGGGGGGTGTTGGGTTTTTTTAATTGTCCTTCTACGTCATTGTGTGGCTACACTTCATCTAGACTGATAGACAACTCAAACCAAAAAGAGAACACAGTTATCAAATAGATACTGAAAAACATTATTTGTTCAGTTTGAGAGAACAAAATTTAAAGTTAAAACACTTAAATCTGAGCTGTAGACTCAAATTTGAGAATTCAGCTGTTGACAGAAGTGTACCTTGACCCATCAAAAAGCAGGAATGCACAACACTATCTACAGTCTTGGAAAGTTCCTGATGCTCTTTGCCCCTTCAAAAATCACAGGGAGTACCACAATGCCCTAAGTCTTAAGCCACATTCCAGGTTTGCACTATTTTTGTTGCAGTTAGCTAGTTTTCCTTCCGACACACTACAGACAGAAATGGCACCTTTGGGTCTAATCTGGTGTTTCTCTGAAGTCCACAAAAGTGTGGCATACCTGCAGACCTTAGCAACAGACCCCCAATTACTTCTTCATTACTCAGTGAAATCTTACCTGAAGATTTAATTATATTACTGGAACAGGTATGTGCTATACTGATTTTGTTTTTCCTGATCTGCAAAATGTCCAGAATTTGCACAGACCATTTTTTGAGGAGAAATATTAAAGAAATATTAAGTTGTCTGGATAATCAAAAGTACAAAATAAAGTATCTCCTCATGTGAGAGCTGAAAGGTTTAATATTCCGACTAATATTTCTCTTCTATGGCTAAGATGCTGGATTTCTAATCTGTCAAGAGTCTTTTCTTATAGAAGAGATGTATGTATATATTTCTATCAGTTTTAATGATATTTTAGGAATTATGATCTGTATACTATTACCTCTGAGCTACAAAAACATACGAACAAATATCAAAAAGACTGAGGCCCTGATCCTGTTCCCATGAAAGCCATGGAAGGACAGCCATAAATTTCTATGGAATTATTAGGCTTCAAAACAGTTTTGTGCTAAAGGAAGAATTGTATGACATCAGGTGAGGCCAACTACAAAATTAATGTAATTAAAGTACAAAATGTTATCACATGTTCAAAAAAGGTTTAAAAATCTCCAAATTTTATGATGATCATGTTTTAAAAATTTGAATAGCTTGAAATAAGAAAAAAAAAAAAGATCTGCGAACAATCTCATCAGACATTTTAGGCTGAACACAGAACTCAGGATAGGGCCTGGTATGTTTAGTTGAACAATAATAAATTGTCTGCCCTGGGAAACCGAACTTTAACTGCAGCTGCAAAAGGTTTTTTCCCTTTTTTCTTATCTTTTTTTTTTTCCCTAACTAATCTGGTTCAGCCAGGGCATAGCTGTAATTACCTTCTTCCCATCTACAGCTAATACCTCAGAGCAATAAAAAAACCTGAGGGTGTTAAAAATTCAAACACTAATTATGGGCTGTTATATTTACTAAACACAGCAGAGTAATAACAAAAGTTTCAGCTTGTTGTGGCCAGCACTACACTATTTGATCTACCAAGTCCCTGGACCCTTTACACTAACTATATTACATAACAGTTAATAGCGCACTAAAATAAAATTCAATAAACACATCTATTACCAAACATGCACAGAACAACCACTTTCGGCTGTCTCCTTTTCTCAGCACAGGTGTATCTCTGAAGAGTTCATTCCTTTGTTGTTTTTGGGTTTGGTTTACAATTAGGCTCTATAAATAGCAGAGCAGTAGATTTTGAATGGGAAAGCGTGCAATATTTGAGTACCCCATTTAAAGTCTTATGGTAAATATTGTCTCATCCTACAATTCTTTCTGTTACTTTCCTTCATGCCTGTTTCAAGGTCTAAAAAAACAATAAAGCTGAGAGCTGCCTTACTTCCTAATTCAGCACTGCCACTGTCACTACTACCACCCCTCACATTCACATGAAACACACACAGGGTAGCTTTACACCACTCAATAACAATAGAGGGGTATGGATTTTTGGGGTGTCAAACAGCTGTCACAAACTGTCACCTCCACATGAGAAACCTTGGCATGCAACAAATTAACCTACACTTCTTTTGGGCTATCATTATTCATAGCCAATCAGTTGAAATGCTCCTAGTATTTCATGTGCAAATAAAACCATGAGAGGAAGACCCTGGATCAGAATAGTGGGCCAATACATAAAACAGAGGAAACAACATGCTGTCTCTGTCCTTCTGAAGTGGCTCATCATCACCCCTACACCAACTTTCACCAAATGAGATCTAGCCTAAGGCTATATATTAAATATGCATATCAAGGCAAATGAAAAAAATAAACCTGGAGAACCAAATTGGGCAAATTTGCATGCTTGAACTGCTGTATCTTCAGGTAGATGCTCAGTAGCTCATTTTTAATAGACTTGTGTGTTTATATTAGCCATTTTTTAAAAGCTTTTCTTTTCTATGAATAAAGATGCATTTCTTTCTGCTAGAACATTGTACAGTGTAAAAATATAAAACATGGTAGTTTGGCTAAGCTATAAAAAGGTGTTAAAGTTTTGTCAGGAAAACAAGCTTATATACAAAAAAAAAAAAAAATCCAATAAGGAGACACATTTCCCAAAACGCATGAATAAAATGTAACTATGTGATACAACTCTTCATTTCCCAGTTGGTGTTCTGGTTGCACAAATTATTGCTTCCTTTCAAAACAAATAGCAGGGGGCTAAAGTAAAAATGTTATAGCTCAAATCTCCAGGAAATAAAAGGCTTTAAATTATAATACCCAATGAAGTGGTAAACCCTAACGGGTGCAAGATAAATGGGTTGTCATATTTATTTGAGTTTGTTTTTGGGGCCACAAAAGCAAGAGGAGATTCTTCTTAGGGAAGATAATAGTTACCAAATTATCAAAATGCTAACCCCCTCCACTCCTGTCCTATCATTGTGTGTGAATTTAAATATTATAATGGAGCACTGCAAATTGGCTTGAGCATTTGCCATCTGCCAGAACCCTAAACAGGCTAGTTTATCTAATCTCTTCAATATAAACATAAGCATGCTCCATTTCTACACTTCCACTTGAAACACGCTCTTGTAAAGAAACTGTACTGGAGAAACATGTATTTTTTTTTTTTTTTTTCTGTTTCTCTAAATTTTACACAGTGACTCACTATCTTTCAGGTTGCCACTCATTTCAATTTCTTTTCTAGTACTCTCCCAGAATACTTATGCCCACGAATTTAGGGTTGTAAAATGCCATGAAACAAATATTTTTGAAATTGTGTCATGCCTCATGGAGTTTATTACCTACATGTGAGTTAGCTGATAAGCAGAGAAACTTTAAGGAAGATCTGCATACATTTTTTTCTCTCAAAATAATAGATTTAAAATGTAAAACATAGCACAAACCTTGTCATGCAATGTTTACTGAATACAAATGAGAAAATGAAAGCTAAGGCTTGGATCCAAAAATATTTCCCGTAACTAAGCCACGCCAGAAGGGGGACATTCAGAAGAATTTATTATTATTTTATCTCCCAATTCAGCTTCAGTCCAGGTCTAATGTAATTACCAAATACACACAAAAACAACATGTTTTCAAAGGAAACAAAAGCTCCTAGAAAGCTCATTCTCCCTGGGCTTCCAGTTACTCTTCTTAACACACTGGGAAATAAAGGCAGGCGCCTGTGCAGAAAGCATGGTTAACTTCACACCGGGTGTTAAATTAATATTTCAACCGCTAAAATATTAGACTCTATCATTTAGATTATTAGTTCAATTGAATCTAAAACTGTATAAACCCCTTTGCCCCCCAGGGATGCGTTCCTATAAATAAAGTGGAGTTCACACCCACCCTTTTTAACCAGAGCTATTCCTTCCCTTTTCTGCTCTACCAGCTGCAATCTTTCCCTCCACATCCCGAAGTCTCTCTGCATCTACATCTTTTGAAGGATCAGAGGAGCCGCTCCAAAACCCGGAAAAACAAAGGCACTATCCTCACCACGCACACCAATGTTCAGTCCTACACACATTACACTAATTCACCAACTCCTAAAGCGTTAAAATCAACCGCTAACCTACGGTTACTCAATCATCATTCTCTCCAACTTTCTGTAATACATTGTTAATAATTGCTTCATCAAGGTTACTGTCTTTTATTATGAAGATGCTTCAGGCGTTTGGCAATAAGTCCATATTCTGACAATAAGTTGCTATAAAGCAAAAGCATTGGAAACTCTAATGTGTTAACCCCTTTTTTTTAATGCAGTGTAGTATTGCCAATAATTCTCATCACTTGTCATCCCCACAAGAGGGGAGGGGGGAGAAAATCAGCAAACTTTCTTCCTAACTTTCTTGTCTGTGTTTCCTTGCATTGATGCATTGATTACAAAGTTGGCAAAGAACAGGAGAAAGCACCGATCCCCACACCAAACCAACAGTTTGCTAGCTCTCCAAGCTGCCCAGACCAGGAAACTTTACAAACCATTGCTAACTCGATGCTTTACAGATGAAAACTGAAGGAACCTTTTGCATTTCTATAACTGTGCAAAGTGAGAGGGAAGAACGTTTGAAGATGGGATTGGAGCTTGCAGGAGTTTAAGGTAGTAATAATACTAATAGACAACAGTGGCAAAGCAAGAAAATCCAGAACAGATCCTCTAAGCAGGTCAAAAACTTAAAAAGTGTCATAAAGAAAGCAGAAGGACTTACATGATCAGCTAAATTTGTGGAAGATCCTGAGAGTTCTTCATGGTCTGATTTGGAGCTGCCATCCCTTTCATCAATAACGAGGTCTATTGGCATTTTTCCTTTCAAACAACTAATGTACCGATGGCAGAAATTATCACACAATTCATGAACCTGAAAAGAATAACAAGAATAATAGGATCAATAATGGCAAAATATCGTATTTCAGCTTTTTTTTTTTTTTTTTTTTTTTTTTTTTTTTTAGTAACAAGTTCAACCCTCTGATCTACTCCACAAGTAACTCTAATTAAGGGGGACAATAGTTGAAGGCAAGGAAACAATAGAGAAATTGTTGCAGCACATATTATTCTCTAGAGACTTGCTGCAGCAACAAGTTAGAGAGAGAGAGAGATAGTGGGCTCGGACTTGTGTGCTGAAGAAAATCGGATTTGGTGATAACATCGGAACACTGGGAGCTGGACCCAGGTGGTATCACCGGAGCATACACAACCCAGACAGGTACAACTAGTCACTCGGAACGGGATCAGTTTAAACCGGGGCTAAAAAAAGGTCTAAATGGCCGGGAGCAGTAAAACGAAGCTACTTGCTGAGGTTGTGGGAAGAGCCATTCTCGTCCCAGGGCACAGCCCCTGCCCACGCCTCGCAGGGGCCCCTGCCTCTTCCAAACATTTAGCGCTTGCTTGGGGTTAATGTGCCTGCCAGAGCCGCATAGGAGAACGAGTGGTTTCATTTCTTTTTGTTAAACATAGTATTTCTGAGTGGGAAAAAGAGCTTCTACTGAGGAAAGGCGTAAGAAAGATGAAAGGGGTTTAATATTTAATATTAGTAAATATTGAAATCACACACACACAAAAAGGGGGGAAAAAAACGGTCTGGGCATATCTGTCGGGTGTCACATGCTCTGATGGCACAGGTTACGGTGTCACAATGCATTACCCCTATCTTCTCTGGCCATGTTTACAAGTCAGCCCAAACAGTCGGGAGGAAGGGAGCCGGGGGAGGGGGGCCGGG